GGTAGACAGGTACAATGTTTCAGCAACAAGGTAGACAGGTACAATGTTTCAGCAGCCAGGTAGACAGGTACAATGTTTCAGCAACAAGTTGGACAGGTACAATGCTTCAGCAACAAGGTAGACAGGTACAATGTTTCAGCAACCAGGTAGTCATGTACAATGTTTCAGCAACAAGGTGGACAGGTACAATGTTTCAGCAACAAGGTGGACAGGTATAATGTTTCAGCAACAAGGTGGACAGGTACAATGTTTCAGCAACCAGGTAGTCAGGTACAATGTTTCAGCAACAAGGTGGACAGGTACAATGTTTCAGCAACAAGGTGGACATGTACAATGTTTCAGCAACCAGGTGGACAGGTATAATGTTTCAGCAACAAGGTAGACAGGTACAATGTTTCAGCAACAAGGTGGACAGGTACAATGTTTCAGGAACAAGGTGGACAGGTACACAATGTTTCAGCAACAAGGTGGACAGTTACAATGTTTCAGCAACCAGGTAGACAGGTACAATGTTTCAGCAACCAGGTAGACAGGTACAATATTTCAGCAACAAGGTGGACAGGTACAATGTTTCAGCAACAAGGTGGACAGGTACAATGTTTCAGCAACCAGGTGGACAGGTATAATGTTTCAGCAACAAGGTAGACAGGTACAATGTTTCAGCAACAAGGTGGACAGGTACAATGTTTCTGCGACAAGGTGGACAGGTACAATGTTTCAGCAACAAGGTGGACAGGTACACAATGTTTCAGCAACAAGGTAGACAGGTACAATGTTTCAGCAACAAGGTGGACAGGTACAAAATGTTTCAGCAACAAGGTGGACAGGTACAATGTTTCAGCAACCAGGTAGACAGGTACAATGTTTCAGCAACCAGGTAGACAGGTACAATATTTCAGCAACAAGGTGGACAGGTACAATGTTTCAGCAACAAGGTGGACAGGTACAATATTTCAGCAACAAGATGGACAGGTACAATGTTTCAGCAACAAGGTGGACAGGTACAATGTTTCAGCAGCAAGGTGGATAGGTACAATGTTTCAGCAACCAGGTAGACAGGTACAATGTTTCAGCAACAATGTGGACAGTTACAATGTTTCAGCAACAAGGTGGACAGGTACAATGTTTCAGCAACAAGGTGGACAGGTACACAATGTTTCAGCAACAAGGTGGACAGGTACACAATGTTTCAGCAACAAGCTAGACAGGTACACAATGTTTCTGCAACAAGGTGGACAGGTACAATGTTTCAGCAACCAGGTAGACAGGTACAATGTTTCAGCAACCAGGTAGACAGGTACAATGTTTCAGCAACAAGGTGGACAGGTACAATGTTTCAGCCCCAAGGTAGACAGGTACAATGTTTCAGCAACAAGGTAGACAGGTACAATGTTTCAGCAACAAGGTAGACAGGTACAATGTTTCAGCAACAAGGTGGACAGGTACAATGTTTCAGCAACAAGGTAGACAGGTACAATGTTTCAGCAACAAGGTAGACAGGTACAATGTTTCAGCAACAAGGTAGACAGGTACAATGTTTCAGCAACAAGGTAGACAGGTACAATGTTTCAGCAAAAAGGGTAGACAGGTACAATGTTTCAGCAACCAGGTAGACAGGTACAATGTTTCAGCAACAAGGTGGACAGGTACAATGTTTCAGCAACCAGGTAGACAGGTACAATGTTTCAGCAACCAGGTAGACAGGTACAATGTTTCAGCAACCAGGTAGACAGGTACAATGTTTCAGCAACCAGGTAGACAGGTACAATGTTTCAGCAACCAGGTAGACAGGTACAATGTTTCAGCAACCAGGTAGACAGGTACAATGTTTCAGCAACCAGGTGGACACAACTGGAAGTTGAAAACTCAGATGAGTATTCATAGAATTGTTAGGAAGTGGAGCAAGTTGGAGAGTGATGTAATGGAAGCAGGATCCATACATAGCTTTAAGAAGAGATATGATAAGGCATATGTAGCAGGGAAAGAGTGGACCTAGTAGCGACCAGCGAAGAGGCTGGGCCAGGAGCTGCCATTTGACCCCTGCAATCATATAGGTGAGTAAACACACACAATAAATTAAATATTATATTTATTATAAGACGGAGAGCCTATAAATTGGGCAAAATTGAGGGTAAAGGAAATTTTGAGATAAAATCATGAACTGGAGAAGTTGGAATACAAAACATTGTGTGTAGTGAACGAGCTGTGAGGAATTACATAATAATCAAACAAATATTATTGCAATAACTAAAAACCTAGTTAAATTTTAGTATTTCAGATTTGCTTACTTCCACCTAATATATTTGTAACTAAAAATTATGGTTAAAGAACCGTAAGAGTAAAACTTAGTAATTCTACTGTAGCTGACATAAACTGAAGCAGTGAATATAATATGAAAATTAATACCTTTCAGTATAGAAAATAGGCAGATGCCATTGTTTACCTATATAAAAGATTATATAACAGGAGACCTGGAAGTTAGGAGATGCTTGAAAAATTTAGTCAAATTTTTGTTGAGATTAAATAAAGGGTGGAATTGGTTGTTGACTGAGCTTACAGACTATCGTGGATGCACATCTGAGTGAACCGTTCGCCAAGTATGTATTATAAATCCTTCCGTGGTCGTTCCAGGTGTAGCCACAGAAGTGGTCGTAAAGGACATGGTTCCAGAAACAACCAGTACCCTCCTCAAGCTTCGGATTCTGGAAGATCCGAGAGCCCATGTCAAAACATCCCGTTGTGACAGCAAGTGATGGAGTGTTCCATCCCTGTTAAGAATTCCTTTGACACATTATTCACTCTAGAGGAAATATGCCTCATTGATGACGTTGTTTCACACGTTTTTGACAAAGACGTTTTTGGGAATGTGATCGAAAATACCTTCTCTGATGACGACTCACCTTCTTGTTTGCATGTCCATTCCAGTGCAACAATAGATCCACTAGTAGAAGCTTCTGTGTTCAATGTGCCCGTTCGTATGTTCATGGACTCTGGTCTAGCCTGTTTATGGATAAGCAGTTACGTTGTGTCCTTCTAGCAGAACCAGGGAGTGGCTGGTTCTAGTCTGCTTGTCAGAGATCAGACTTCCCTCACCTTCTCC